ATCCCGTACTAAGGAACTGCTATGCCAGCCTCAATCCTTTGATCTCGTACTAAGAGGAGGACCAGCCCTAAGATACAGTCTGGTATCGAACACAGGACCTTATGTGAATTGTGCAAGTGACCTAACCTATTAACCTACACTGTGAAATAGTCTGTAGCTGTGCTCTGCTGGGCTCGAGCAAACCGGAAGCTGTTCACCCGGTGAAGAACATTCACATATGATTGTTATTGTCAAAATTCTGGCAGAGGTTAACAAAATTCGCCACATATATCCTTATTATTGTCATTCATCTGCCATAGATTATCAGATCAACTCGCATGCTCTTCCCCCTGCCATTTCGCCAAGCAGAGATCTGAGCATCCCTTATTGACTATCCTGTCTCCTGTCCTCCCCCTATCCACCACCCAATCAGCTAGCCTTCCTCTCGTCGATCTCCATCTTGCCGTCCACCCAGTGCCAGACCACGGAATACGACAGGCGAGGCAAGCAACAGATAGTGAAAACAGGGGGCAACTACAAATTAAGGAGAGTATTATGTCAACTTCAAGACATTCGATGGAGAACACAACGTCAACCAACACACACTGACTCCAATCGCCAAACAAGAGGGAAAGAAGAAGAAGAAGAAGAGGAAGAAGGAGAGAAAAAGGCAGAAGAAGGAGGTAGAAGAAGAAGAAAAAGAAGAAGACAGGTGTCCCAATGGAAACCGAAGCTCCCGTATGGCGTTGCGACTCTGCCGGTTTCACTTGGCACGCCTACCAGGATCATCAGGGGCCTAAGTCGTGTGACGAACCACTGTCAGTGAAGACCTATATACTAATGTCGACTAGTCTACACAATCGTTAGTAGTCCATCCATAAGAAAAAACACGTTCCATTTTTTCCCCACCCAAGCGACAAGAGTTCAAATTGCCCACAATACTAAAAAACCAGTACCTTAACAAAAAAAAACTATCACAATAGAACTATACTATACCTATCTCTAAGAGGTCCTAGGATCGAGTCCATAAGTGGCCCAAAGGAAAAACCACGGTAGCGAAAAAACTCGACGCTTCACCAACTCAGAAACGAGACCACCGAAGGCACAATCAATTCCTAAACAGACGAATCACGGATCGAGTCCCCAGAGAAACTCCAATCACAACAGTAGTCCAAGAACGCACGAACTCAACTCTTGTCGGTAGAAACCACAACAACATTATCCTAACTACGAACAAAGCAGCCTACGGAATTAATCAGAAAGGTACCTGAGAAAACACACCTCATCACGAGAGCAGACCCCCTAAATCGAGGGCCTAGTGCAAGAGCCGACCCCAGTTCGTCAGTACCGGTATCCATTCCCTCCAGAGACCTGCAAATTTTCTCGAAAAGTTGACCAAAGCTCGGTCAAAAAACTGATCGGGGTAACCGCGCTTCCACAACTCCACCTTTAAGGAGAAAAGAAAGGGGAACACCATCCATTCAACAAACGAGTAAGTCTTAGCACGATGAAAGAACGAGGAGACCACAACCATCTTCTGCTGCCGACTGGTAAAGGATGAATAGTCCTGAATATTCTGGAATACCAATTTCCCATTAACCTCGCCCCTCTGATTCTTAGTAATAGGAACCGATAGCACCCCAGTCTTACCTTCAAACAGCAGAAGAACGCACCCAAGGAAATCCCAGCACCCTCCTTCATTGGTTTTCTCCAAAACAAGATTACGGTCATAGCAGCGACTGAAGGAATCAACGAGTCGCAACCCTTGGTCATACGAACACCTGTCATTCTTCTTGTAAACTACAAATACTGAAACATCATCAACTAACCTAACCCCATGAAACAATCTCTGGTTCCCCCGCAGGCTGGACAAAAAAACAAATTCGTTGTATGCGCACAACAAACAAGCCAAAGCAAGACTTTATGACTTACCCATAAAAATCCCAACCCTCTGACAAAGAAGTCGACCCATAGCCAAGACATAAGTATGATCAAGCTCAAAACGTACGAAATCAAGAATCAGAGATAGCGGAGTATCCCTCCATCCAATTTCAACCTTACCTTTCCGTAGCTTAGCACCTTTACCTTGCTTCCCACCGAAACCCTCACAATATCCCGTTTTTGCCAAACATCGATGACCCAAGCGAGTGCCTTCAAAATCGAATCATGTGGCAAATTCGAGAACATCTCTTTAATATCAAAAAATGCACCCAACAACTCCTCATCCTTGTTTAGGATCTTATTAACAGACTGAATAGCAGTCAACAGTCCATCGACACTTCGAAGATTGAGATTGAAATTCTTTGGAAGAGACCACAACAGTGCGTTCACACAGCGAGATATCACCCTCCCACGTGTCGCAGAACACTCCGGATACGATGGGCATATCGGCCTCCATCGAGAAACATCCTTGTGTTTGGGGATACAGTAGGCTTCATCAAATCTGCCAGTCTTCTTCCACGATCCCACTCTTTGCAACCCACGTTCCTCATATATGGTTCTATATTGATTCAAAACCTCATCAGCAGTTTCCGTACACAACAAGAAGGAAGGATTCTTAACGAAAAACTTCTGCATACCAATCTCACAGACAAGCGGACAGCAAACGAAGGCATCGCCCAGATTATGGTCAGTAGGGCAACGTACAAGACCACTGAGTCGTTACCGACAGGTAATTACTTCCTCCTCTCGAACTGAACACAGAGAAACATCCTGGCGACTCAGGAAACAATCTTGAAGAAGATTCGAAGACAGGGTATCCCGGTCAACGGTAGGTAGGGAAGGATGAGACCCAAAGAGAAAGATCAGTTGAGAACGTAAATTAGACACAGAATAAGTCTTAGATGGTCGCACAATGTTCTTGGAGTTGCACAGAGATTCAGGAAACAGAGAAGAAACGTCATTGATCCGAAAGGCTACATGTCCATCGATACGTAGGAACGAGGTCTCTACATCCGCACAGGTACACTTCGCACACCCGACTTTAGAATACTTCTGAAAATTATGTATCAGATCACCAACGCAAGGACTACGACACCACACCACCCTCATACGCCGAACCAACATTCCCTTCCAACTCTGTTGCACATCCAAACTCGCAACAATCTTAGCACAAAGACTCCTCACTTTAGACTTGCAGATACCATCATCGTGAGTGATTCGCACGACAAGTCTCTTTCTAACATGTATGCTGAATCTGGTTAAAATATGATGCGACAACAGACTCCTCAGCCAAAACCTGGACCGTTTCTCAAAGAAGGTACGAACAGCCGTATACGCTGCAATCAGGCCGTCGAAATCCCAACACTTCAAATCCTTCCGACTCACAGGATTACTGAGAAATCCAGACAGAGGAGCTTTCAAAGCCAAAGACCTACTAAGGAAGGGCACAATAGGATCAGAGAGCAATGTAACCCCGTCCTTAATCCATTCGCGAGCGTGACGAAATTGACCTCTTCCAAACACACATGAAACCAAGCTACCACCAAACAGTCTATGGAGTACTTTCCACCGATCCACCAGACGATCTCCTCCAGCACATGTAACAATAACACGGTGATTGTCTTTACTATAACATTTATCAAGAATCTTCAACAGGCTAACCGAAGAGTACCCTTCTGTAGAGTGGAACACACCAGAGGTGGGCAAAATTTTTTTTCCTCACCCTCGACCTAACCCGCCCAATTTTTTTTTTCCCCATCTACCTGATCCAAGAATTTTATTTTTTACTTTTAGACAACCCCGCCCACCCAAAATATTTTTTGAAATTTCAGCCCCACGCCCGATCCGCCCGTGACCCGAAAAAAACCCTCACCCACACCCGCCCGCACCCGTAAGAGTATCATCACCCGGCCGCGTCCAATACCAAAATTTTCTTCACCCGCATCCATCCGCATCAGCCCGCGCCTGCCCATGCCAGTCCCTTACACCATCACGATTTCCTCGGCAACATAGCATTGCAACAAAGACATTTAAAATCCTATTATTAAAACAACGGCAACATCATCAATGCGACTCGAACTTCTCAAAGGAAAACATTTCAAGATTTTTTTTGCCTAGGGGCAGCTGCACTGCTTTCGCACCGGCGTTACTTCATCAGGACCTGGTCAACTGAATCAGACACTTTTTTATTTGGCTCTCAACCTCAAGCTCGACGTACTACACAAGGAAGGGGGGTGGAGGAGGTTGTATAATTTTCGGGTCATCCTGGGTCTATGGGTCGGGTGACCCAGGCCAAGCCATCACCCGCCTGCCACCCACCCAGCGGGTGACCCAAGTCAAATCTTCACCCGCCCGTCACCCAGAAAGGCATGCCGGCTACGCCCGCCCATAAGCCACCCAAGACAACTCATGTAGACCTAAATCCGACCCATCACCCTGTGGGTCGGGTGGGTGCATATGGGTGCGGCTCTGGGCGCCCGGTGCCCAGCTCTGGAACACACAGAGAGCCTTTGGATATAGCACGAACATTAGAATCACCTCCATCAGCACGACGTTGAATCCTAAGTCTTTCCCTCAACCCCTTACGACAACGTTTAACTCGCTTCGGCTTGTCCCGCATATTTAAAGCAGGAGATAACAAACGAATAAAATATTTTTCAGTTTCCAACAAGTCATCAGCCGAGCATCGACAAAGAGGTACAACAGCATAGGTGTGAGCTCCGCATCGCCGCAACCAACGATACAGTCTTTCGTTCCTTCTACCCCCTTCTATAACGTTCTCATGACACACTCGATACACGTGCTCCCTCCATCGTGAGTGGAGATCCCGTTGCCTACTACTGACGTACTGATGACGTGCCCAAGGGGAGATCAGAGCATAGACAACTGGTCCTTCCCATTCGTCAATATCCTGACACCGAGATAATCGAGAGGACTCCAAAAAGAAACTACTCAGCTTGACACCCCAAGAGATTTCGTCGCATAAGATTAACCCACAGACTGCCAAAGTAAAGAGAAGATTGACAACCTTATATCGCAGAAAATCAGAGGAGACAGATCTCAATCTACAACATAGATTTGTGGTTTGCCACAAGAGCGTCGCGTTCAGGCGTGACACTAAGAGGAAGCTGAGTCACATCCGCCGCTCGTCTCAGAGTCATCGTTCCCACCCTCAGTCAAATCTACCGTTGAATCTTTGACCTTCTTACCTTTGTCCTTATCGAACACTCTGGCAGTTCTTCGTTGTGCGATCTCTTCCTTCGTTGGCTCCAATGTAGTATAATCAATCCCTTCCTTTTCACAGATTGCAAGCACATCCTCTTTCTTCAACAATCTTAACTTCTTCGTTTCCTCCTGCAGGTGAGAATCGCGTGCGTTGACAATTGCCATCGGAGAAGCCATCGTAACCCCATGGTCTTTCCTTGTCGAAACACCCGCCACAATATCCATCCGAGTCTTAAGGTTAGTGCCCTTAGTCTTCCTGCCTGTACCTAAGCGTGCCATCGCCTCCTTCAACCGGTCAACCTCCTCCTCTGACTCTTTTCGAGCGTTGACCTCCTTCAACCGCATCTCTTTCAGTAAATCAACCTCCTGCTGATGTCGTTCGACAATCCCCTTAATTTGTTGATTGACCGCACATGCAGAGGCGATCGGGGTTACCTTCAGCCGCACCCTAGCCTCAGTACCCGGAGTTGGTCCGATAGCTACGCTGCCCCTTTTGTTGACCGAACGTAGGGCTTCATTGCTCCAGACGTCCGCGTTGGCTTCGGCCAACTCGCACTGCTTCCGAAGAGCTCTAATGACCTCCTCCAATGACTCGAACCTTTGGTCAATAGCTGCTTTAGTATCAGCCTGCTCCAGACGAAGACGCACCAATTCTTCCAAATCGTTGGGTGCCTTAGTAAATGTAGCAAAGGTACTAACTCCCATCTGACTTTGCTTCAATTGTACCACCTCAACACGAAGACGTACGACCTCATCATCCTCAGCAACTGCGCATTTGCCTTTCAAACCACGAGGCGATTCTTCAATTTGAGCCTTCAAGTTAGCAATATCATCACCGCTGCCTGCCTTCTTGCTGTTAACTGCCTTGCACACTTTGTCAAGTTTGACCGTTATTTCCTTATGCATCTGTGACTGAAATTCTTCACGCTGCTTCCTATCCGCTTCTCTACGTTCATCCTCTTCACGTTCTTTCTTCTTTCGTTCCTCTTCCTCCCTCTGAGTGCGCTCCTTAGCTTCTTCTGCTTCATGTTTACTATTGATCTTGACGACGATCTCCTCCAGAGTAGATACTCACCTTCCGATACCAGAACCACTACCACCACCGCCATAGTGATTAGAGAAGAAAGGCACCGCCGTACCAACACCAGCCGGAGGTGCAGTTAGAAGCGGCTGAGCTGGCACAATCGCATTACCAGCATTTGGCTGCATGCCGTTGAGCCTGCGGTCAGGTAGAGGACAATATCGAGAGATATGTCCTGGTTGTCCACAATTGTAGCACGATCGAACACCAGGTAAGTTAATGTTTCCGTTGGACGCCATCGCTTGTGATAATCGAAGCTATGTAAAACGTAGTATCACTTCTACGTTGGTTACTCCGTGAGAAGAAGTATTATGTCAACTTCAAGACATTCGATGGAGAACACAACTTCAACCAACACACACTGACTCCAATCGCCAAACAAGAGGGAAAAAAGAAGAAGAAGAAGAGGAAGAAGAAGAGAAAAAGGAAGAAGAAGGAGGTAACAGAAGAAGAAAAAGAAGAAGACAGGTGTCCCAAACGCGACTGAATTCGATAGATAAAACATGAAGAACAACGGAAACCGGAGCTCCCGTATGGCGTTGCGACCCTACCGGTCTCACCTGGCACACCTACCAGGATCATCAGGGGCCTAAGTTGTGTGACGGACCACTGTCAGTGAAGACTTATATACTAATGATGATTGATTGAATGATTGATTGATTGATTGATTGATTGATTGATTGATTGATGATTGGTAAATTGATTGATTGATTGATTA